TATATAGAGGTGATGTAATCCATCATTAAATTTCCAGGGAAGTTACTTCGAGGATGAAAAGAAGACAAGACGAAAAAGGACAATGGTAGAACAGAATTGGCGATAAACAGATGAAAAACTGAAAGATGAACGTATTTATTTATAATCGTCATACTGCAGCAAGCTCAAATTAGTTCAACGGATACAGTGTCACCCAAAAGTTTGTTAACTCTCCCAGCCAGCTAACCTGACTCTGTTACTTCGAACCTTTAGATTGATTCGTATCGGTTTCATGTTCTGGTTGGTACTGAGACAGTTTCAAACATCTGAAGCAGGCAGTGCAGCAATAGCTGGCTGGGAGAGTTAACGAACTTTTGGGTGAGACTGCAAATTCAGTGCTGCCGTTTGACGGAAACTCGTCTGCCAGACGGTAAAAAAAAATGAAGTTCGATCATGTAATCGGTAGATTGTGACGTCAATGTACCGGCTTCGGTGGCCCGTCGGAAAAATACCTTAATTGTGAATTAGGCCTTTTGGGGGTCAAATGCTAAATAAAAATGATAAAGAATAATTAGGAAGGTATTTTCTTTGATTTCCTTCATTTTATAATTGACATTTTAGCAATACTGCTTCATGATGAGTTGGCACGAGAGGATAATGTCTACTAGGAACACAAAGACACCAAAGACGGTCATTTTTAAGTTCCATGGGTGGATCCAGGAATATCAAAAGGGGGAAGGTCCAAGAAGTTTTGGGCGAGCCCATCCATCTTGGGTACATAAGGAGGTGGTGTCGCCAGAATTGCACTTGACTGCCCTTCACTTCCCCAGCTGTAGTGTTGATAGGTAAAGTTTCCTACTCCTGATTGGATATAGCATAAAGGTTGCTCTCATATCTGTGGTTAAAACCTTGGCAGCCTTACCTAACCTAACCTTGGTTTTCAATCATTGTAGTCTACAATGACTTTCATGACAATCTTGATACATTTTGTAATTTTAATCATGTATTTTTAGGCAAAAGCACCTTGTGATAATGCATATACTCAGAGAAGCAATTGTTTACTATGGGTTTGCTTTACCAAGTAATATATTAAAATCTGTTATTACTTTTTAGGAGGACCAAGCGGTGTACCACAGCCCTGACTGCAACAGAAGAGGCAATGGCTGGTTAAATTAGTGATGTTGCCATTCAGGGATGTTTGTTTCAGAAGAAGAGTAATTTATTTTCCAATTGTAGCCTCGGGGGTGGAAGGTTAGGTTAGCCAGTTGCGTTTGATGAAATCGACTCACTGGAACAACTGCATCGGGAAGAATTACAATATAAATTTACTGTTAATTTAGGTTAGATTCTGTGCAGGAGGTCGCAGTAAATGCCTTACAAGAACTTGATGCATCAGTAGGGGCATGGGGAGCTGAGTAGATGGCCTCGGCATAGGTTTGTTTTAACTCCTTGTATTACATACAATTCAAATATGTAAATTTTTTGTCTATTTTGGGTTTTTTATATTTTCTTTTGCCATTACCTTGCAACTGTTATTTTAGTCATATACAGTAATGAGAATCTCATGGTAGTTACAGTATTTCCTTTATCAATTATTATCTGCTACTGTAAAGTGCAATTTCTTTTTATCTTGTGATTTAGTATAGTCGGAGGAAAGAAAAAATAATATTTATTTTTATTATAATATTTTCCTGTGTACCTACTTATTAAAACAATAAAAGTGTTAAACTTCATTTTAGTTCATTGACCCTTTATTTCTTAGTAATTTTTACGTGAAATATTTCAAAGGTATCTTATATACATCTTCCTCTGAAAACTGAATATAGTAGTTATTGCAGCTTCATAGTAAAAATTTGAAAGAAGGCCCTTGGTATGTGTGCCACATATGAAATGAAAAATATACCTTTCAAGGCACTCTAACTCACATACAAAATATCTTGGTATGGCTAGGACCAAGTTATAGCAAGCTATTCTGCCAAGTATCCAAGAAGTACCCATGACTCATACCTGTGTGCCAACAGTAATCTACAAAGGTTCTTTGGTAAATAACAAGGATCATATGAAAAGGTTAGGTAAGGTAAAGGTAAGGTCAGGTGC